CATCGGACTGCCTGACCCTCGGCTTTACAAACTGCTGCGGGTCCGATGAAAGGATCCGATCGAAAAGGGAGAACCTCGTCGTGTCAAACTTGATGTTTTCAGGCACGGGCACTATCTGAGCGCCAAACGCATCAACCTTCGCTACGTTATCGAGGGTGGTGAAAACGGTAGCCAAGTCGCAACCTTGCATCGATTTCTTGACCTCCTCGCGGCTGCTGAGAGGGTTCATCGCGGTGACGACCGCGCCGGCTGAAAGAGCGCCCAAAGCGACGACAGGGTACAGCACGGTATTGGGGAGGAGGATGAGCACCACCTGACTCCGTAAAACCCCGGCCCTCTGGAGGCCGAAGGCCACGGACCGGACCATCGACCGCAGCTCCCGGTACGAGATGGAAAACCCAGACGAGGAATCGACGAGGGCTGTGGTTCCTTGGTGATCGCGGGAGAAGAGGAAGGAGACCAAATCTTGAAATGGGTCGGTCGGGAGATCTCTTGGGCTGTGCTTGCTGCTGTAAACCCCTGTTTCAGGGGAGTAAAAAAAGCTCGGGGTTTTGGGCTGGTGGTAGGGCAAAGTCCCCTCCATTTTTAGGGTTTTGGGAGGAGGAAATGGGGGTTGAGGAGGGGGGGAAAGGAGAGACTTTTTTGAGAAATGGGGAAAGTGAGGAGGGGATCAAAATGGAAATGGGGGAGGGAAGAGGTGATACGTGAGATTCGGCGAGAACCTCATCGTGTAGGCTGGAATCGGGGCGACGCCTCTTTTCAGATTTAGTGGGGCCCAGTTAAAATCAACTTTAATATGGTATTAATTATTTGGATCGCAGGATCGAGCCCGCGCTACATGGGACATCCCCTCCGGGAGTCAAACATTATGTTTTGACGGTTAGTTTTCTGAGCACACGAGCAGTTGACTTTTATTAGGTAATTAAAAATAATGTCTTTGTTTCCTTAAAAAAAATAAAAAAAAATAGTACCTTTGCAGCTAACCTTAAAAAAGACTTAAGATTCTAAATGCCCTATTTGAATTGTGGGGAACAGTGGAGAAGGAAATGTAGGGAACACGATTCACCCCACTTGCATAACTTATTAAGGGGTGCAATATTCCTATTAGAGTTTCCGTTTATACTTTACCTGAATTTGTTGGCTATGTTGTGGGAGAAAAAGACATTTTTACTTTCAAACAATAGTCCTACATGGACTAAGTTAGTGTATGGGGGTTGTTTAAATTGGCTCTCTTCCATTTAGGCTTTGAGGGTCCCCAAGAGGGGGGTGTTTTGGGCTTTCAATTTGTTTGAGCTTTGCATATCACACACACGCGTG